CTCTTCTATCTCCTCATTGTGATCAGTCTCTGTGTTGGCGAAAATGGGAATGAAAAGGCATTTTCTCCCACCTTGTTTAGTACACAATTACATGGTTTAAAGAAGATAAGAATTTCACATCGTTAGAACGATGACATTACTCATGATTCTCTGAGGCCCTGAAGTATTCCCTCAACCCCAAATGTAGGCACAACAAAATAGAACCAGTAAGAATGAAAGATCTTAATGGTTTCATGTTCTTTAATTTTGGGTTTAATGGCAGAGGCTGTGTGCCACTGAGTAAAATACTCACTTGTAGAAAAAGACTGCATGACATATTTCTGAAGAAGGACAATTTAAACTAATTCTAAGAAAATGCGTACATACTGAACATGCCATAAAATAAACAACCCACTTAGAAACCAAATGAGCAATGGGGTGAGTTATGATTGCCCTGGGAGTCTTGGTTTTACTTTGCCTTGCCCTGGTAGGTATAAATGATTGCTTTAGCATAGATATTGACAAACGGATATAGTGCTGTGGTTAGGCCCCAAGGGTTCAAAGAAATGATGTTGCTGTGAAAATACTCAGCTGAGTAACAGGTAGTGTCCATGGGTGCGTTTGCTCACTCATTCATCGCCCCTGGGCACTGATCTCTGCTAACGCATCTGCCTCACTCTAGCACCTGTTTATGTCCTTGGCTGCAAGCAAGCAAGCAAGCAATTGTTCCATGATGAGTTTCAGTCACCTCAGAATTTCGTCTCCCTTCTCTGTTGTAAACTCATCCGTTTTGTAAACCTTTCCAGATCAAGTCCAATCCATTCACATTGTTCCTTTGGGAATATCTTTGATGGCGGTGGGTGGAGAAAAAGTCCCACTGCTATTTTATGAATGTGTCTTGATCCTGACTTTTCCAGTTGATGAGAAATTCCTTGAGGATGGGGGTCCATCTCTCCTTGGTGACACAACAGAAATACATAGAACATAGCCCATCAGGGAAAAGTCATTTCATAGAACAGAATCATTCCTACTTTCTGTTTCTAGTTGCCCAGAATCTTACCCAGGTCGATCCCTGCTACTTGCTGAGAACCCTCATTCCCTCTGTCTCTTTGCCTGTTGATTCACATACCACAAAAAATATGACAATTTATAACTTTTGCAGGCATTTGGGACAAATCATTCCTGGAGGTTTCAAACTGTTAATGGAGATGTAGCTATTTCAAACTAAGTCTTATCTGTAATCTCAATAAAACACTAAGCACAAGCTTCAACTGATCTTTAATTGTGTTTATTTGCTTAACACATACCCACTAGGGCTGGTCCCATGTTTGCTTTATTTACCTTTGTATCTCCAAAGTGAGCCTAGAAACAAGTGTGTCATAGACCCTGTCTATTCATATATTCAGCAAATATGGTGAGCATCCACTAAAGGCCAGCACTATTCAAGTGCTAAGAAGACAGTAGTGAACAAAAAATACACATATTCCGATATCTTGAGCTTAGATTTTGGCTAATAAAAGAGTAAGAACTGAGACTTAGCAATACTTACTCTATGACTGATACATTTTTAAGTGCATTACATGTATTTTAGACATTTAATCATCGTACTAACCTACAAGTTAGATACCATTAAATATCCCCAAGGGTGAATATCCCCTGGGTGGCTCAGTTGGTTAATCATCCGACTTTGGCTCAGGTCATGATCTCGTGGTTCATGAGTTTGAGCCCCACATCAGGCTCTGTGCTGACAGCTCAGAACCTGGAGCCTGCTTTGGATTCTGTGTCTCCTTCTCTCTCTCTGCCCTCCCCCACTTATGCTTTGTCTCTCTTTCTCTCTCAAAAATAAATAAACATTAAAAATTAAAATAAAAAAATAAATAGCCACAATTTTCAGATGTGAACACTGAGGCACTTTGTTGAATAAATAAAACATATATAGCAATTATACGTTATGTTTTTTACCACATAATATTTAGCATTATTTTTATTAAGTGACATAATATACATATACATAAATAATACAATAACATATAATATGTAACATGTTATATATACTATATAGGTGAATAAATATTTACACATATACACGTATAACACTGATAAAAATGAAGCTGCTCTAGTTCAAGTGTGTGGTGGTTGAAGCCTTCTCCTTATCCTCACCCACCTTCCCCATATCCCCTGAGGCACCTCATTAGAGCTCAGTTTGAACACCACTCATGTAGCCCTAACTCTTCACTCCATATGGAGAGATGCTGAGTTTCAGAGAGGGGAAGTGACTTATTTAAGGGCTCACAGCTAATTAAAGACTGAGCAGAACTCACCAGAACTGACCAGAACTCTCTAATTTTCAGACAAAAAGCTTAAGCTCAGGATACTGTCATTTACCCAAGAGCTTTCTGGAAGTAAGTAGTGAAACTAGAATTACCTTATTGATTTGCCTGCTTCTTCCTGGGTCATTTCATGAAGCCCCTGACATTCTGGTTACAACTTCCCTTTACAGACCTGTATATTGGCATCCTCAGTGCAAGACTTTATGCTCTGGCCTCATAGCTTGTCATCCCCCAAATAGACTGACAACCTGCTCTCACACAGCCTGCCTTTGTAGTTTTTCTCTTTTGTTGCCCATAATGTGCTTCCCTCCATCTCTACATGCCAAACCCCTAGTCATCCTGCTAGAACCAGCACTGGTTTTACTCCCTTTTGAAGACTTTCAGTGGTCTATACCCCAAACCCATTTCATGTATGCAGGGCCAGCTTCATGGATGTGCAGCCCAAGCGACCTGCATGTGGTTTAATGCATTTTGAAATTCTTAAGAATTCGTGAACAGGGGCACCTGGATGTCTAAGTTGGTTAAGCATCCAACTTTGGCTCAAGTCTTGGTCACATGGTTTGTGAGTTTGAACCCCACATAGGGCCCTGTGCTGGCAGCTCATAGCCTGGAGTCTGCTTCAGATTCTGTGTCTCCCTCTCTCTCTCAGCCCCTCCCTGCCAGCTCTCTTTCTCTCTCTCAAAAAAAAATTAATAAATGTAAAAAATAATTAAAAAATGAATTTGTGAACAAAGTCCCTGCATTTTCATTTGTACTGGACACTGAAACTTATGTAGCCAGTCCTGTATGTTGTATGTGTAGACATCTATTACAATGGGTTAACACTTGAGAAATAGTCTGTCTCCTGTGATAGATTATGATCTCCTTGAAGCCAGGGACTGGTCTTATTCATTATTGTATCCTCAACACCGATGAACCACTGATGAAGTCCAAGGTTCAATAATGCCCTCCTTTTCATTCCTAAGAATATCCTAATTAGGAGAAAGTGCTTAACCTCTAGGAAAGTACTTAACTCTAGGCAATCTGAGTATTCATTCCAGGACATGGATCATTGTCTTCCCAATGTTGAAACTATTAGCACTCAGTCACATTCTAGGAACACATTGAAGGCATGTGCCTAATACTTCTACTTCCATTGCTTCCAAAATAAGTATACTGAGGAGAATAGGAAATGTTTTACTTTCATAGAGGAACTAAGAACATTACAGAGCAACAGGAGTTGGCATCCATTAGGTGGGGGTTAGGTTCAGAGATAAGACTGTAATATGATCACATCAACTTCTTTAACTACTGACATTCTTAAAGATTATGATTGAGCAAAAATAACTGCCTTACATGAAGCAGACTTTTCTAAATAAGTCCCCTTTGCCATATAGTTTAGTATGGATACCTTGTCATGCTTTTTTTTCATTGTTTATTAAATAGAGCTTTCACATTCCATTTAGAAACAGAGAGAGGGACTGGAAGAGGTGAACTAGTTTAAGAAAAGGAAACATATTAGAAGGAAAAGGAATGATGGTAGTGATACTATCACCCAGGCTTCATTGATAACATCACTAAGAACTAGACCAGTGAAAAACAGGAGCCCAGGTTGGGTAATTGAGACAATGGCAGGGTCAGCAGCTGGAAGATGAAGCATGTAGTCAGCCTCAAGGATCACATCAGCTGAACATCTACACCTCAGCATGATGACAGCTACATAGAGATTCTGCCTTCAATGTCATCTCCAAATCACTGAACATTTACTCAAAATCCTGACAATGCAAGCCTCATACTAGGGGCTGGGAATATGGAGTTTAGGAAAACATAGGCTCAGTCTTCAGTGTGTAGGTTCAAGGCTGAGATCCTGAGTTCAAAATACTGCGTTTGAAACCTGGCTTGGCCACTTACTGGCTGAGAAACCTTGGGCAAGTTACTTAACCACTCTGTGCCTCAGCTTCCTCATCTGTAAGATCTGATAGTTATATTATCATTACGAAGATTTCTCCTGAGGATTAATTTCAGTTAATATATAAAAGCACTTGGAATAAAATGCTATCAACACAGAAATGAAATACATCAATACTTTTAGCCAGTTGTCAGTGGGTAGGGAAGATAGTATAGAAGACTTTAACATGTGAAGGTTGAAGCCAAATCCTTGAAGTCTGGAGTGACACACCATTAACAACAGGTTAAATGACAAGCAGGTTTAACAGCAATGGTTGTGGATCACGTAATTATGACACAAAAGAGGTGCATTACTAGACTTAATTTCCAGAAGCTATTGAATTCAATCACACACAATGTGGTTTTGGAGGGACTTGGCCTATATGCTTTCCAAGGACAATTCTGGCCAGAGATAAGATAGTGAAGAGTGAGAGAAAAGTGTGGAGAAGGTTGTCTCCAGTTCCTAATTTTGGGTCTATACAGGAGAAGGGGCGATTATTATCTCCTCCATTATGTGTATTCTTGGCAGTAGGGAGGGATTTCTCATAATTCTCTTATCACTTCATGACTGTTTCTATTTCAATAAATATCAACAGACATTCAAAGGTCTAAAATAGAAAGAGGAAGGAATTATCACTAATAAATTTCCTCAATGACTGCCTAATGTCTATAGCACATATGGCTACACTGTGACAAGAATTGTGCCCTGGAACCAGCTTGGATTCCACATTGCTATGGCAACAGATCACTCTGGTTGGGCTGGTTTCCTCCAAAGGACAAGATATGTGGCCAGCAGACAAGGCACCATTGCCCGATCATGAAAATGTTTCTGTTGTTTACGAGTTAATCTGAACTGTTCACGAGTGAAAACACTATTGGTCCTCTGTATCTAGTTTTTCTCTCATCTCTTCTCTCCTTTTCAAGACAGCCAGCTTTCCAATGAAATTCACATCCTAGATAAGACCCTTGCTGCACGGGTAAGATAGCAGACATCAAGGCTCATGGATGATGTAAGTTATGACCAAATCAAAACCACCGCTCTGTGTCCTGTCGAACAGAGATATGACATTTATATTAATATTTGGCTAAGTTTCTCAATTAGTGATTGATGAACTAAGCCTCATCTTCATAGTGAGGTGATGTAATTTTCATCTTTGGATAATGTTTGCATTGTAAATCTTTTAGAGGTCAGGAATGTCACGTTCTTGCCATGTAATAATATCTCAAAGTGGGACTATAGTGGAAAGAAGTTTTTTTTTTTTTTAAACAGAGTCTGAGAAATAGTGCATTTCATATAAAAATAGTGTAGATCCGCATAAAATTTTGAAACACATTGGGTGGGAGCCTGTCAGATAACTAGTTACTGGGAGCCTGTCAGATAACTAGTTACTGCAGGAGAAGTGATTACCTTTGCAAAAGTATTTGGGCCCTTTCAAGCCCTCCTGGTTCCTTTTGTCAAGGCATGGCTATAAGGTGGTAAATAAGGTGTTAGGGAGCCCTGGACTTTTACACCATAAACACCTTATAAATAATTAGATGTCCTTTCTCTCTAAAGCCTCATCATTTCCATAGCCTAGCTATGAAAATACATTTCATTTTATTTATTTTTTTTTAAAAATAAAATCTTTTCATTTAATGGCAACTTTAAAACTCAAAAGTGTTCATTTTAGCCTCTTAATAGTCATTTTAAACCAGTGTTCATGGGTCAGAATCCAAAGCAGAGGGATCACTATTTAAGAAAAAGTTTTTTTCAAATTTCTTAAATAAGAAATGGATCCAATTTTAACTTAACTCTGAAAAAATTTATTTTCTATTTGCCTTGATTAAATTTTTCTTTAACTTGAGTCTTAAAAATAACATTTACACTGCTGGGCTTGCAAACATTTTCTAGATTTTCTTGGTAACATTTATATATATTATTCCACTGCTTGTACAGCCACAGAAGTGATCCGTTTTTCCTTTGGGCTTTCTCCCCACTTTAGCTTCAGCCAAAAATGAAGTGCTAATCCCACATTTTGGGCAGACATCTTGCCTGTTTCTAAAAACCTCAACCACTAGCTATCATTATCAGAGAGCTTTTAAAATGCCTGTACAGTCACAGGCTATGTAGTGGGAAATGGATCATGAAATATCCAGGAATGCCAACAGCCGTTTTCCTTTCCATGTTGGAAAGTGCGTGTCCTCTAAGCATAAATGAGGAAGGTCTCTTTTCTCAGCACTCTACCAGCATCATGACACATTTTGCCTTAATCTTGGTAAACATTTGTCTGTCACTACCTAAATGTACAAACAAACAAATGAACAAACAAACTAACAAACAAAACCCCCAAATGTCTGTGTTTCCAGCAAAATGTAGCTGCTCTAAACCATATTGCCTCGGGTCAAGAGCACTCTTTTCTATACTACATTCCACCATTTCCTCATGGAGTTCACAAATTGGGTTTTCAAATATAAGAAAATTTCTACACAATGGAAAATGAAGTTCAAGTCTTATCAAAATAACCTAAGACCACCCAAATGATAACAGAGGTTATTAATTCAGATTCTAAAGCAAGTAGTCAGCTGCTACCACTTGTGTTTGGCAAGGAATCAAAGGCAGGCAGGGAAGTTAGAAGGCTTAAGAGCAAAAAAAAAAAAAAAAAAAAAAAAAAAAAAAAAGTAAGGCTTCAGGTATGCTCTGATTGGAGTTTCTTGGCACGAAAACCTGGAGGAAGCTAACTAGAAGCAGTCATCCTATGTGATTGGGGAGCATATTTGACTTTCTCTGGTTGGTCCTGGATTGGGAGGATGGGATGGAGGAGGGCTAGGGAGGTATACAGTCATTGATCAAGTCTTGATCATTCCAAAACAATTGTTATAGATGTTATAGGATGACTTCCTGGGAGTCTTATGTAGACCAGAGTTTATTGTCATACATGGTCTGGCCATTGTCCATCCATGTATTCAGTATGTGGGTCTATATAAAGGAAAGACTCATCTACCAGGGAAGATCTAGAACAACTTCATCCAGTATGGTAGCCACTAGACTTGTGTGGCTATTGAGCACTTGAAATATAGCTAATCTGGGACTCTGGGGTGGCTCAGTAGGTTGAGCATCCCACTTCAGCTCAGATCATGATCTCACGGTTTGTTGGTTTGAGCCCTGTATCTGGCTTTGTGCTGGCTTTGTGCTGACAGCTCAGAGCCTGAAGCCTGCTTTGGATTCTATGCCTCCCTCTCTCTCTGCTCCTCCCCTGCTTGTGCTCTCTCTCTCAGTCTCTCAAAAATAAACATTAAAAAAAAAAAAAAGAAATATAGCTAATCTGAAATGAAATGTGTTGTAAATGTACAATGCCAACTGAATTTCAATGCCTTTATATTAAAAAAGAAAAAGAGGGGCGCCTGGGTGGTGCAGTCGGTTAGGTGTCCGACTTCAGCCAGGTCACGATCTCGCGGTCCGGGAGTTCGAGCCCCACGTCGGGCTGTGGGCTGATGGCTCAGAGCCTGGAGCCTGTTTCCCATTCTGTGTCTCCCTCTCTCTCTGCCCCTCCCCCGTTCATGCTCTGTCTCTCTCTGTCCCAAAAATAAATAAAACGTTGAAAAAAAAATTTAAAAAAAAATAAAATAAAATAAAAAAGAAAAAGAAAAGAAAAGAAAAAGTACTCAGTAATGATGTTTTTAATTTTGAGTAGATGTTAAAATGATAATATTGGGGACATGTTAAGTTAAACAGAATATGCTATTAAGATTAATTTCACCTCTTTCTTTGTATTACTTTTTTAATGTGGCCAGGAAATAATTTTAAATTTCATATATGGGTCACATTTGTGGCTTGCATTGTATTCCTCTTGGGCAGCACAGGAATAGAGGATTGACATATTAAAGTCATAGGGGTGAGGGTGATGTTTTTCCTGGGAAATCCTTTACAAATCATCACATATTATACATTTCCCATAACAAGGGCAGAGCAGCTCATAGTGAGAAGGGACTTTTTTGAACTCAGGTGATGAGCAAAAAAGACTTATTTATTCAAAATATTACTATATAAAAATTTCATAGGCTTGGGTGTATATATCTATATAGAGAACCATAGGATTGGCTCTATATATCTTTGAGGAAATCATTTTAATGTAACCTTTGATTATATAAATACCAAATCATAGAAGAGAGGGATCGAATGGAGGAATTCTTAATGGACATTAAAAACTAAGAGTTGCTTACTGAGTTGATGAGATTATTGTGATATTAAAATTTTCTCTTCTCTAGAGAAAGAAGCTAGCAGCCAAACATGAGAAGAGGAGCCTGGGACTCAGCAAAGACATAGCTGAGCACAGTGTCCACATTTCTGTATGGCAGCCAGCTGGGTGCTGAGGAGGAAACTATCTTTAGGGGACCCTAAGGTGGAACTTAAGAAGTAAGTCTAATAACCAGTTTCAACCTCTTTTCCCTTTTTGTGTTGGAATTCCTTTTTTAAATATTCTCAAGTCCTGCAGCAAATTGAGGCATTGGGACTGGCATTGACACATATTCAGGGAATGAAAGGAAAGACTTGTAGGGAAGGAAAAATATTTTTCCTCTACTCTTCTTGGTTCTTTGCTGAGAGTCATTCCTCTCACCTTCTGTAATAAGATAGATTAACAGAAGAAAAACAAGCAGAAGTTTAATAATATGTATAACTTATGTTTACATGGGACAGACCCAGGAAAACTAACTGAAATACCCCAAGCTTCCACCTTTAATACCATTTCCAGCTGAAGACAGAAGAAGATGTTGAGTGTGGGAGATCCAGTTATGGGACATTATGTGGCAAATCACAATAAAAGTGTAGTTGTTATGCTGATTTAAGTCCTTGGCTTTGCCATTGATCAGAGTTTCCAGAATTCTTCTTCCTGGTACAGAAAAAAAGACACCATTACAAATAAAGATTTCCCTTATAAATGCAAATGTCTCTTACAAAAGGGTATTCTACTTGGTTTTCAGAGCTTGTCCCCTGTCTGCTGGGTTTTGTTTGGTTTGTTTTGTGTCTTAAATAACTAGCTCAAAATACAGAAGCATATTTTGGGGGTGGTATATTCTGCTCCCCTTCATATTGCATACACAGTTTGGGTGTATAAAGCACATTCATAAAACCTTTTACTTTCATCCTGGTCCTTTGTAGTGTATTTGTTTAAAAACAAGCATTTAAAAGAAGACACCCAATTTTATTACCACAAAACTATTATCCACTACTGTCTTTCATGAATCTTTTTTCTACTGGCTCAAGAATGCAAAACTACAGCAAGTCTCAAAGGGTTCATAGTGTTGAATGGGTTGCTGTAGATTAAAAATAGCACGGCAGTTTATCTTTGGCTACTGGGGTATTGGTTTACTTTTTTCATAGAAACAGGCTTTAATTACAGAGTAAAGAATAAACTGGACTTGATTGCTCCTTGGAAAGACTGACATTTCAGTTTCTCCCACAAAATACTTATTGATGTTGATGTAAGGGAAAGAGAAGAGTCAGAATACAAAGGAGCTTTGTGTTGCCAGCAGTTGGGAAAGCATCTTTTGTCTTCTCAACTTAGCAGTTTTGATATGGAAGTCAGTGCAAGAGAATAAATATCAAACACAACATTGTCATTTTCAGAATCTCTTTTGTGACTGTACTTTAGAAAACACCCATAGTGAGACAATTGAAATTTCTGAGCTTCTGGAGGAAAAAGAAAACTGACCACATCCCAAATTTATGCTTAGGAAAAGATGTTATTTACAACAATTATAACTGCATTTTCCACACGTGTTGAAAGACAGATAATGATTTAACATCCAAAAAGGAGAGAAAAACCCTTATTCAGAATAATTGGTGACATGTAAGCCCCTCTGTGAATGCACTTTTGGTTTAATTAAAATGCATGTGCAGTGGTATATTTCAAAAGAAGAAAAAGTGCTGGGTATTCAGAACTAAAAATGTCAGTAATTCTTTTCCCATACCATGAGGGGTTTCATAACAATTCCTCAGAGTAATATTTCTTGTAGGTAGGTAAACAACTGCTATTGGCTAGATAAAGAAGGTGATGGCAAAGGATCACCTGGAAACAGAAAATGATCCATCTGAAAACAATTCTTAAGTATACAGGTAAAGGGATAACATTAGGAGCAACCATCAAAAGGGCAGTGCAAATGGAGAGATTTTTATGATGAAATATACCTAGCTAGAAATATTTTTGGATTCTGGTTACACATGGCAGCCTCTCAGCTTATTGGTTCTCAAGCCAATACTGTTTTCTGTATTGTCACAGCAAGTCCTAACAAGTTGGAGTGGAGAGAGAAGGAGGGAGAGAGAGAGCGAGAGTGAGAGTGAGAGTGAGAGTGTGTGTGTGTGTGTGTGTGTGTGTGTGTGTGTGTGAGAGAGAGAGAGAGAGAGAGAGAGAGAGAATATCTTTCATTGATTCCAGAGAATACAAAAGCAGGACATTTTATTTGTACATTATTTTACAAAATGAGATAAAAATGAAATCAGACACAATATTTAAGAAAATAAAAAGGCAATGTGAGCAATTTCTGAAGTCCACACAATTTCTTCGCATTCCTCAAAAGAGTGTGATATTAGTAGGAAGATATAAAGACTCCAAAACACAAATTCACTCCTAGTCAGTTTAAGCTAGTTCTTGGCACCCTCAAACCCCCATCATTCTCAAGTGTGCAGAAGGAAAGCTTTAAATAACTCAGGAAAATGGCAAAGTAGAATATCAGATTTCAAAACATTTCATTGCAAATCAACCTAAAGGAACAGCATAGAAATCGTCATTCTCTAACAGTATTTTCCCCTTAGGTCTGTGGCAGCATGGTAGGACACAACACAAAGCAAATGGGACATACATACTCTTGCTTTTTAAAGACTGCGTCAGTAATTACTTCTTTTTTAAATTGTTGTACTAAGTCAAGTGTTCTTTTATAGACTGGCAAAATAAAATTCTGAAGATAAATAAAATTACTTATATAAATAGTAGGGTAGTAGCAATATCCCGTGGTAAAACCCATTTCAGTGATGAATTCCTAATAGAAAACTTGGTAGTGTTAGAATTATATTCAACTAGTTTTTAATCTACAAGCTATTCTGGTTATTCAGCGTGAGTTCCAGAAATATTATTTATTTAAAGGTAGATTTAAGAAATTGTTGAAATAAGTCATACAGAGAAAGACATATATCATATGTCTTCACTCCTATGTGGATCTTGAGAAAGTTAATAGAAGACCATTGGGGAGGGGAAGGAAAAAAAAGGTTAGAGAGGGAGGGAGCGAAAACATAAGAGACTCTTAAAAACTGAGAAAAAACTGAGGGTTGATGGGTGGTGGGTGAGGGGTATTGAGGAGGGCACCTGTTGGGATGAGCACTAGGTGTTGTATAGAAACCAATTTGACCATAAATTTCATATTAAAAAAAAAGAAATTGTTGACAGAGTGGGTTCACTGCTTTAGGATAAATTGAAAAAATGGTGATCATCAAATGTTGTATTGATTGCCTAACTTTCCTAGGTCAACTGACCTTAAAAAGTGTGACTACCAGATTCTGTCTGTCATTACCACAGAATTGGGCATATCAACCTAAACCTCTATTACAAGTGGGAAATCCATGAGGGAAAGACAGAACTGTCATTCAGGGAAGGTAACTTGAATTCACACTTTCTGGAATAGCGCCATGGGTCTGAATTCACAGATGCGATGGTACTGTTATGATTACTCAACTCCCTAGGTTACGGTGGCTCAAATTCTGCCACTGGCATTTTAACCTGTGCCCCAACTGTTTTATTTGTAATATTGCCACCTGTGCACTCAGACCAAAACAGAGGGGATGGCTAGAAGCCATAATATTGATGGCCGAGGTCAAAAAAGTCATGAAATTCCATTTGGCTGCCAGTGGAAAGGGTTCTTATCTCTGAACTAATCTCAAAGCAATAACTACCTTCTCATTAAAAAGTTGTAACTATACACTTAAAACAAACACCCTCCTACAATAGACATGCTATGCTGCCAGTCACTAGCTTAACAAATGTGATCTCTTTTACTCTGTAAGTAGCATTAACCACCTGAGAAGACTCATTTGCTATATTTCCTAAAATTCTGTATATGTAAGTCTGTGACCTAACCAATAGATTACAGAGGCTTAGATGAGGTATCTGATCAGTTCAGAGCAAATAATTTCTCTCTGATTCAATAATAAATGATTTATATAATCATTTCCTTATGATATATGTGGTAAATGGTGAAAAAATATAAAGGAAGATCAGATTGGGAAGTGCTTATTTTTTATACTATGGTCAGGAAGAGGCCCTTTCATTTTGAATCTTATATATGAAGCTTTGAAACATACAAAACTTTAAGAAGAGAAAGTGTCTTAGAATCTGATCAAAATATGAAAACACTTGTGGTTTTTCATATGAGACTAACTAGCAAATTTGGTTCAGTTGCAACACATATAATAGGAATAAGGTATTTAACTGAAAATCATCCATTACATTATCTTAGGGCATATACCAAAGTCCAGCAACAGAGAACTTATCTTCAGTGGCAGTAAACATTATAACTACTGAAGTTAAAGGTTTTGTTTTTGTTTTCCCAGAAAAAAATAGAAAAATCTTTCTTAAATGTGGCAGTGTTTTGATGGAGGTCTCCTAAAAGTTTGGATGATCTTGATCCAGTCAATTTACCTCACTGGACCCCAACTTCCATATTAATAAAGCAAAAGAAATTATCCAGTTGGTCTCCGGGTTTCTTTTTATCATCAAGAGCCCTTGATTCCAAGATATTCCCAGTTGCCAACACAGTATCATATTACAAAGAAAACAATAAGCACAGTTAAGATATTAAAGTTAATACTCATGCTTTATCTCCTTGTGACTTGGCCATTGCCTCTACTGGCAGTGGGTACATAGCATTCTGTTTGTGTCTCATTAAAAAAATACTAGTTATGACTTCCTGTAACATAAAATTGGAGTCTTTAAAGGAGATCTTTTAAGTATTTATCCTTGGTAAATAAAACAGATTTTGGTATAGGTGCTTATTCATTGTCAAAGTAGGTATGAAATCTATCTTTTAGTGAAAAGTTAATGGTCTAGGAACTGCTTGTGAATCCATAGGCTAAACTAAAAGATGGTTTTGTTTCAGTAGTACTTAATATCCTGAATTAGAATTTAAATTACGCTGTATTTGGAATACTTATCAATATATTAAGTGCATATAAAATCATGCTGAGAATGTGCAAAGATTTCAGCACAGCTTAATTTTTATTTCACTGCATAAATTCCTTTTTGTTCTTGTTGAAATTCTGTAAAGCTTCTAAATTGTCCCTATTTCCTATAGCACAGTTAGCATGTCTTCTTGGGAATAGAAGGGATACCAGACCTATTCTTCCCCTTCAAAGCCAACAAATATCAAAGCCAAAATGAAGTTAGGTAAGGTGTGAGCAGTAATGAGGCTGAGATAACAATTGTGTGTTTGCTATAAGAAATAAGTCTAGTATAGCTGAATAGTATACTGGTAGACAGCTAGATTTCTAGAAGTTGCAAGCAAGGTTTCATGTGCAAAGCTTATCAGGGGAAAGGAAATGAATAGTGTTTTTTTTTTAATGTTTATTCACCTTTTAAGAGAAAGACAGGGCACAAGTGGAGGAGGAGCAGAGAGAGAAGGAGACAGAAAATCTGAAGCAGGTTCCAGGCTCTGAGCTGTCAGCGCAGAGCCCGACGCAGGGTTCAAACCCGTGAACTGTGAGATCATGACCCAAACTGAAGTCAGACACTTTACCAACTAAGCCACCCATGAACCCTTGAATGGATTTTTTAAATGACACTTTCAATGACCATTTTTGCCCAATTTCATAACCTCACATACCATGAATTTAAGCCAATGAGGACTGAAATTTCTACCTTAAGCAAGTTCTACATATTGGCAAAACTCTTCTTGGGCCCACGGCAAGTCTTTTTGCCTCCTTTAAAGAAGAAAATAGGGGCACCTAAATGGCTTAGTTGGTTAAGCATCTGACTTTGGCTCAAGTCATGATCTTATGGTTTGTGGGTACCTTAGGCTCTGTGCTGACAACTCAGAGCCTGGAGCCTGTTTCAAATTCTGTGTCTCCCTCTCTCTCTGCCCCTCCCTCACTCGCCCTTTGTCTCTTTCTCTCTCTCAAAAACAAATAAACATTAAATTTTTTTAATGAAAAAAGCAACCTATTAACTGCACTTGGAGAATAAATCAGTATCCGATTACATAATTTAGCTTGCAAATTAATTTGTGAATTTCCCCACATTTTTAAAAGGACACGTGTTGAAGTGCTGAACTCCTGTCTCTGGTGGAGCTTTTAGGTCTGTTTTGAGACATGCAGATGCAGGAAGAAAATATGTAAAATAATGAGAAGCATTTTCACAGTATTTAGTGATATTTGCTCTCAGAATTCTATTAATTTAAGAGAATAACTTGCAACTGTTACTGCATTAAGAAGCTTGGCAAGCACTAGAGTGTAATTATTTCTGCTATAGCACTGATACACACAAGAAAAGAAACCATTCATGGAATGTGTATATGTATCTATGGCTATCCTTATTTATATTGTTGTGATTTACAGTTCTGATAAATTTGCCTCTTTTCTTTCTCCATGCTGAAGAAGGAAACATACACACATGGCATTGCATTTCTGACAATCAGTATTTCCCTGAAAAGCTAGCCCTAAGGAATCAGGAGATGCTGATTCCTAGAAAAGCTGTTAACGAATCCTTAGCCTCTGCCTTATGGATATCTCAAAGATTCACTTTTTCTTGGCAGTATTCATCAGTGTTTGCTTGATGGCTAGGCAAGACAATTCTTCATTGTGTAATACTGACCTAAGCATTGCAGATGCTACCCATCTCTCACTCTGTTTGCCCTAAATGCCAAGAGTGATTACGACTACCCAACACATATGATATCTAAACTATTCTTAGACATATGTTTGAAGACCACTTCAAATAGATGAAACTTCAAGAGTGATCTTCAGGTTATCCTGGCATGATCTGAGGTAGTGCCACTATGCAAAGCTTTCTCTTAAGATGCCTCTACAAATATTGTAGAATGTGGTGACTTTTAAATGCCTCCTTTCCCAAGGGCTTTCTGCAATATGTCTCATATTGTTCAAAGTAATTTCCTGGTGGTTTGTGACTAAGTTAAAGAAAATAAAATGATGGCACTTTCTTTACTGACCCAGGTGGATGCATCATCTCACCCTGCTACCTAGAAAGACTAACACTGAAGAGTTATTTCCAGAATATCTGTTCATCAAGACACACATTTGTGTTGTCCTGAGGTCCAGGAAAGACATCTGTGATTTCGCTTCACCATATATTTTTGGGAACTGAGTGAGTAAGCCAGAAATTAAGGAAGTTGGGACACATGAGGACAGGGATCAGTTTAAGTTCACCTGAGACCAGTAAAATGAATTGATAGCTATCAAAAGATTAGGGTTTCAAATAAATTCTGGTGTTCAGTTAATAATAATGTACCAATGTCAATTTCTCACTAGTGCTAGTGGTGTGTATGAATCTGTACAGAATAATTTCTATTACACACTGTGTCCAGTATGTTGTGCTAGATGTCACACTTTCAGTAAATATGTTATTGTTACATAAGATGTTAAAAGTGGGGAAAACTGAGTGAGGAGTATAGAAGAAACCTGTGTGTAATCTTTGCAACTTTTCCGTAAATCTATATTTGTTCCAAAATTTAAAAAAATTATTTAAAAATTGCCCTCTAAAGTCATTTTTTTTAACTCACAAAGCCCTAACTCTTTTTCTTCCCATTCTTTCTATTCTTCACTGACCCTACTCCCCAGCTTCCCTTTCTCCTCTCTAGACTTTCAGCTCTGTTTTCCCTCTGATATTGCTGCAGAGGTCTCAAATCCCAACCCATTCACTTCTGAGTGCAAGTTTCTCATAAGCACTACAGTTCTAGCCCTGGGCCTTCCCTTGCTTGTTTTCCTTTTTGTGTTTTCTCTCTTTGTTTATTTTTTAAATTGTGTAGGTCTTTATAGTTTATAGAGGAACTTCCCATGCACTTTGTCTTTTGATTCTTAGAATATCCAGGTGAATTGGTCCTTATTATTATTATTATTATTTTTAATTTTAATTCCAGTGTAGTTGACATACAGTGTTTTATTAGTTTCAGGTATATAATCCAGTGATTCAACAGTTCCATATATTACTCAGTGTTCATTATGATAAGTGTACTCTTTTTTTTAAATATTTTATTTATTTTTTGAGAGATAGAGTGCATGCACACAAGCAGGGAAAGGGCAGAGAGAAAGAGAGAGGGAGAAACAGAATCCAAAGCAGGCTCCAGGCTCCAAGCCCTCAGAGCCCAACATGGAGCTCAAACTCAGGAACCATGAGATCATGACCTGAGCCAAAGTCAGACACTTAACTGACTGAACCACCTAGGCACCCCATGGTAAGTGTACTCTTAATCTCTACCTATTTCACCCATCCTGCCACCTACCTCCTCTAGTAACCAGCAGTTTGTTCTCTGGTTTTCAGTTTGTCTCTGTTTGTTTGTTTGTTTTTTCCTTTGCTCCTTTGTTTCATTACTTAAATTTCACATGAGAGAAATCATGTGGTATTTGTCTTTTTCTGACTACCTTATGGGGTTTAGCATTATAGTCTCAGCTTCACCCACGTGGATTGCAAATGACAAGAATTCATTCTGTTTTATGATTGAACAATATTCCATTGTGCATATACATATACACACACATATATGTATATGCATATATACATGTATATATATGTATAGATGTATGCATATATTTACATCTCTTCCTTAGCCATTGATCTATCAATGGAAATTTGGGCTTCCATAATTTGGTTATTGTAAATAATGTTGCAATAAACATAGGGGTTCATATATCCCTTCAATTTAGTGTTTTGTCATTCTTTGGGTGAATATCCTATAGTGTAATTACTGGATCATAGGCTAATTCTATTTTCAATTTTTTGAGGAATCTCCATATTGTCTTCTATAGTGGGCTTAACAGTGTGCATTCCCACCAACAGTGCACAAGTGTTCCTTTCTCGCTACATCCCTGACAACACTTGTTTTTGATTTTAGTCATTCTGAAAGGTGTGAGGTGATCTCTTTGTGGTTTTGATTTGCATTTCCCTGATGATGAATGACGTTGAGCATCTTTTCATGTGTCTTTTGGCCATTTGCATGTCTTCTTTGGGGAAATGTCTGTTCGTATCTTCTGTTCATTTTTTAATTGGGTTATTATTACTTTTTGATGTTGAGTTGTATAAGTTCTTTATACATTTTGGATATTAACCCTTTCTCAAATATGTCATTTTCAAATAACTTCTCCCATTCTTCTCCTATTAGTTTTGTTGATTGTTTCCTTTGCTGTGCAGAAGTTTTTATGTTGAAATTGTCCTAATAGTTGGCTTTTGATTTTGTTTTCCTTGCCTTAAGAGACATATCTAGAAAGAGGTTATGGTTGATGTCAGAGAAATTATTGCCTATGCTCTCCTCTAGGACTTTTATGGTTTCAGGTCTCACGTTTAGGTTCTTAATCCATTTTGAGTTTATTTTTATGTTATAGTATAAGAAAGTGGTCTAGTTTTATTGCTTTCCACGTAGCTGTCCAGTTTTCCTGACACCATTTATAGAAGAGATAGACTTTTTCCCATTGCATATTCTTGTTGAAG